AACACAGATCCAATGCAGATTAATCTGAAGTCACATCCATAAAGGCACTGGGTACAATGGCCCATTCACACTGGCCATTTTCTGGTATTCTGATGCAGTAAATTGCTAGGCTCTACCTAAGTGGCCTGTGGACAGAAAAGTCCCGGAGTTAGGTTCCACTCTACATCCAAAGACAATAAGGGCAAATACAGAGATTAGCTGTGAAGGAAAAATATAATAAATAAAAGGAAGTTGTGACCAGTACACACAAGAACCTGGCTGCTTGCTACCTCAGGAGACCAGGTCATCCTGCCTTTCCCTACAAGAGACAGAAACCCTTTTGCTAGGCTAGTCACAGAATTGTCAACCCTGCATGTCAGTAAAATGAACCTACTTTGATTTAGATCACTCTGGGAATACCAAGTCTCTACAATAGTACACATGGACAGTTTGAACAGTACAATTCACCTTTACCTCACAAAGAACAACCTTGAAAGAAGAACTAGGGCTACATATCTACATACACATTTTAACAGTAACTAGGTTGTTCAACCATTCCACTCAGTTCCAAAACTGTGCTTCCAAAACCACAAGACTCTGCCTTACTCAACACAATTTCCACTGCCTCCTGATCTAGAATCCCAAAGGTTAGTGGCTATCTTTAGAACATAAAGATAACTGCATATATCTAAAAACATTCCTTAATCGCTAGTTTTCTTGACTAATTTTTATACAAGAGACGTTTTTGCTCCAACTTCTGGGCACTGTTCTCTCCAAGCTAAGAAAGTAGCTCAGTGATTAACTCCCCACATCCATGTACTACCCAGCTTGTTTAGCATGATTCACTTTTCCAGAATGACCTCTCAAGTCCAAGCTTCACACATCACAGACAAGACCATAAAACCTTTTGCTTGGTGGTACAGCTGCTCAATGCAAAAAATACTAGACCTCTCACCCAAAAAAAACTCTAATCAAGAACAGGATACACAAATTTGGAGGGATGCTGCATTGTAGTTAAATAATTAAATACTGGATTACAGATCCAGTTAAATCTATTTCTCTGGGAGCCTCCCAGAATCCTTGAACCCTTTTCCTATAAGAAGCATTTCCTCAGTTGTCTTTGTGAGTGACTCTTCTCTTCATGAAATAGAATTTTGCACCATGAAAGGGTTAGCCTGGATATCAGCACATGGATGGAACCAGAAATCAAATCTTCCAGAGCCTGGTTTAATACTGTGGTTGTTGTCATCAGTTAATGCCTCTGTAGTAGCATTTCCATTACTGGTCCTGACCTGCAGAAGCTACTCTGAACCAGGAACAAGTCCACCTGCCTCTTGCTGTGTGTGCTGGCACTTGCCTCAGAGTCTTCCCAGGATGTTAAACCACGAGAGCCTTCTCCTTCCAAACAGGCAAGGAGTATTAGCAGGGTTTGGAGTGGAGTTTAATTCAGGCTAAAGATGCAGTGCTGGAGCAGCAGGGCAGGCAGCCAAGGGCTCTTTCATAACTGGGTGGGTACAGCAGTGTATGTGGGAAGAATGGCATGCCTCAGATGCACTGCAGCACAGAGCACATCCAGCACAATGCTGGCTCAGCTCTGCTGGCACCATATCCGATTGCTGTTCTTGTTTGAGGTCAGACACAGCCTGGCCAAAGGCCTTTTGTACCCCAGCCCCAAATACTGGGTGAATTCTCCACGCAGCTCTGTTCAGCTCTGGGTTGATTGCATGTTTGGGTTGCCAGTTTGTTGTCCTTTGAAGTGAATATCCAAGCAGGTGGCCACAATGGCTCCTGGCCACAGTCCTTCCTTCCTTCCTGCCCAAGAATGTCCTCCATGACAAAAACTTTCCATGTGCTGCTAGCCAGGATAGGAGGGGAAGCAGGAGAAGGTGCTTGGAGAGACACAGGGATGTTTGTGAGTCCACTCTCCATGGCCTGGGTTGCAGCTTCACCTCCCATTCAACTGTGAATTGCACACTTTGAAAGTGATACATAAGGGTGGTGGAATTTGAACAGCAGCAAAAGCAAAATTAGGGGGAAAATCCTGCCTGCATAAGATTAGTGAAAAACCAGAGGGCTGTGGCACTTGCACGAGGAAGTGATTTTATTAACAGCACAGGGCATGATGATCCTTGATAGATTCAGGATTTCCATTCATTTCTCTGTTAATTTCTTGCTCTTCTAAGGAAGAAGTCATACACATTGTACCTTGATTCTTTGAGTAAACCCTCATTGATAAAACTGACTTCTACTTTTTGCACATCCATTTCAGAGTGAGCTTTAAAAGCATTATTTCAGAAATTCCAATTCTCCTTTGAAATTACATTAAGTTAGAGGGATCAAACAGATATGAAGTTAATGTAAGGGCGGGGGGGGAAAATGTTCTGGAGATGCTAGAAGGGACAATTATGATGGTCTTGTATGGCTTTCTTCATGAGCTATAGAATTTTACCTGGCAATTTGTGAAGGAACACTTTGATAATAAAATCAGGCCATTGCCAGGCCTGACAGAACCGTGTGCCAAATGAGCAGCAGGCACACCTCTGCCATTAACCTTTGCCCAGTAACAGAGACAAGGAAACAGGAATAATGCCATCCTGTAACAAGAAGTAGAGCCTTTCTCCCCTGTACAGCAGTGTTTGTGGCTCAGATGGAAGGCTGGGAAGCAGCTTTGAACATAAACCTTCAATCTGAAGTTTGCTCCTGCTCAAAGAAGCCCAAAGTGTGGCCCAAGGCTACTCAGAGAGCAGCTGTGAGTGCATGGTGAGTGCATGCATTAGAGAAAATGCTGTTTTCATCCACCCAAAGCATCTTGTCTATGGAAACTAAAGCTCTGTGGCTTATGGTCTGATTCAATTCATTCATCCTTAACCATGTAGCCTGAACCAGTCACACAGTCTGTCTGTAGCCCATGGGGAAAGGCAGGTAGAGGCTTAGATGTTTCCCTTGGGAGAGGATGATTTTCCATCTGGAGGTGTCCATCTCTACTGGTCATGGCAGGATCATACATGACTAGGTTGGGTTGAAAGGCAAATGTTAAGATGAATAAAGCCCATGAGAGAATTTTCAGCCTGCAGTTGTGCCAGTATAACTCCATGAAGTGCTGTACCAGAGCACTGCATGATTTTTGATGCGTTTTCAAGCAAACTAGAGGTTGGTGCAAAATTTCACCCCAAAATGGAGCCCTTAATGCCTTCATGCCACAGGTTTTCTTCAACACCTTGGGAAAGTCACTTTTTTGTGATTTTTAGGAAGACATCAGAGAGGCTCACAATCAGATCATCATTCATCCACCTTGCAGAGTAGAGTTGCTGTCAATGAGCTGAAGAGTCCCGCTGCTGGCACAGTACTGATCCTCCTATTTTTTCCAGGACCTGTCTCTGCCATTTCTAGGGAGTAATATTGTGTTTTCACTTGAGAAGCAGTGGGGAAAACAAATTGTGGGAGTCCTTGGTTCAATTCCCTGCTCAGCTTGAGGCAGTTCAGATATCCCACCACTGGAGAGCCGTAGGCACAGCTGCTTTTCAGACCCACAGTGGGTCTTTCACTGATCTTGTCCTTATATCTAGAAAGAGACCACAAAATCCACCTGGTAGGACATGTCCTGTAGCAGAGGGGTTAGGGTATTACTGGGGAAGACAAAGGACATGTGGCGAGGAGCCAGGTAGGTATTTTGCATTTAAATTCTGGGAGCAGGGGTGAGAAGGTTCATTGCAGTGTATCAGACTCTGTAAGATCCTCTGGGAGCTAAACCTCACTATCTTAATTAACAGAAGGGAATGAAAGCTGGATTTCTGGCATACCCATCTGGAACATCCATCACAAAACTCATAGTTTCATTCCCCAAGCTGATAGTGCTTGAGAAGGTCCTGCTGGCTGCTGCTGGGGAAGCCTCCAAAAGCTACATCAGAGGGGTCTGTGTTAGGAAAATCAATAAACTTGCAGCATGGCTCAGGACCTTTATGCATGATTTTACTGGCCTCTTTCCTACACAAACAGTATTCTGATGACTATTTGCCTTTTGTGATATTTATTTAGAAAGAAAGATTTCCTCTGTCTTAAAACTATTTAAATCTGTCTTCCCATTCAGACCACTAATCTGATATAGAACAGTACATGGACTTTCATCCAATGCCAAAGAACTGAGAACAAAACAAGGTATCTCTGAACTGCAGAGAGGGGCAGTGTGGGGACAGGCAAATCTTCTTGGGCCCTGGAGCTTACACAGGCTCAGGGAGTTTTACTTGCACAGTCTGCCTACAAACTGCACCACACAGCATCTGCATTTCATCTTTAATGAGGGAGTCCTGCCATTTCAGTTCTGATTTCTTAATGCTTGGTTCCTACAAGCAAAACAATGTCTCTTTGCTCCCACTGTTTGAAATACATGAAAAAAATGGTCAGTGGGAAATGGAACTAAAATTGCAGCATTAACCTCATATGTGCTGTAGCTCTGTAAGCTGTAGGAAGAACAGCCTGAACCAAACAGCAGCAATACTGCCTGGGTTAGGGTAGGAGAAAGATATTGAAGCTGACTCAGATGAAAGATGCTATTGGCTATTTCCTTTTTTTATTATTATTGAAAATAAAAAGAATACTTAAGTTTTGTGTATGCTTTATATATGGTTAAAGAAGTTATCCTCCTTTCTTGCAGTCTAAGTGGATTTGACACTTGAGGAGGGGTCATCTGACATTTTTTGGACTCATTTTTTTTATTCTCCCCACATCATGAATTAAATATGCTTCTTCTCTCTCTCTCCTCTTTTCCTTCAATGTTCCAAGAATTTATGTTTTACTATCTCTGATTTTTTTTTGTCATTTGGTGGCTTGCTGTGTTGTCAGTAATGTACCAGTCCACATAAATTTCAACAGGTCCAGTAATAGTGGAGGGTGCCCATGGCTGCTTTTGAATGCTATTTTCCTCCCTCTAAAAGGCCCCATTCCTGTGATTACCTTCTGCCTGGTCACTGTGTACAAGCCAAGAGCTCAGCAGTGTGGGAGTGTGACAATCTTGAGACATTTCCACAGTACCCGGGGCAGTAAATTAAGGTTGACATGACCCACGAAGCACATGGCAGCTCCATTGTCAGAGCTCGTCTAACAGGAGAGATTGAATTTCACACTATGTTTGATATTAAATCTCTCCCAAGCACAAGCTGACTTGGCTGGGTAGAAAAGACATTGGAGGATCAACAGTGAGGTTCTTGGCATGGGAAGGTGCTAAATACTCTCTGCCTTCATTTGAAGCATCGCCTTGCAGCCTCACTGAGCTCAGAGGTGCACAGGGGTTATTGAGGCTGTCCCACGTGCCTGTGCCACCCCAAAACCAGCAGCTGCACCTTGCTCCTGACCTCACTCCCAGCCCCTCTCCCTGCAGACTGCGTGCTCACTGTCTCTCCCTTCAGGATTCCTCAGGCTCCACCACCCATCCCTGATCTCCTGTGTCCCCTCACCTTCTGCAGTGTCCCAGGATTGTCTTACTTGCTGCTGAGCCAGGAGGAGCACGTGCTGCTCTGCTGGCCACCCCAGCCCGGCCACTCGGCCAGAAGATGGATCCTGCTTGAAAGCAATGACAGGTCACCTTTGGCTCCAGCCAGGCATCTGAAATAAATAAGTTGTCCAAACTCTCCACTGATGGCACAGAAGAAGTTCTTTGCAATAGGGAAATTGTCTTCTTTTAAGCTGGCAAAACGCAGTGCTTAAAATTCCACATGCAAATTATTCTGAAACTGAAATGAAAAACTAGACTGAAAGAGTCCATTCAGGAAGCAAACACAGGAAATCAGAGAATCACAGAAAATCACAGAATGAGAGAATCATTTGAGTTGGAAAAGATCTTTAGGATTGTCAAGTTCAATCAAGTCCAACCATAGAATTGCAGAATCACTTAGCAAAGGGAACATATATACAGTAATTCTCCCATTGCATTCTCCTTGCAGCCCTCATGAAGGCCACTATCTCTGTGAAATCCACTTGATTAGTGGGCTACTCCAATTACATTTTATTTTAGCAGTGGCTTGTTTAGTTCACACTGGATATTGTGAGCAATTACTCTGGGGATTTAAGGTACTGGGATATCTACAACCCATCCAGTGGGTAAATGCAGTTTCCAGTTCCATCACAATTGGTGTGTGCTGGAAAGCCAGACACCAAATCAACATTTCACAGACATCTGTTTGTGCCTGAAGATGTAGATGTGTCCTTGGATACCTTCACAGCCTTTGTTGCATGTCTAGTTGATGCTGTTCAGGAAAACTTGTTAGCACAAAATATTCAGAGAGTTTAAATAGCTCAACCTGAAATAGTCCAATGTGCAATTTTGCTCACAGGGTTTTAAGGAATGAAAAGGGCTTTTGAATCAATTAACATAACTTTTCTCATAGGACACTGCATTTCTCCCAGTTATGTGATATTGGGATGAGGATTTTCATTTGTACAATAGTAGAGTACTTTTCTGTCTCTAGAAAGGCCACCAATCTTGATATGAAGTCACTATGGGATGGAGAAATGGCTGCTTCTCTTGCCACCTTTTTCTTCAAGGGTTAGTTACCTTCATTGTTAAAACTCAGACTTCATCATCAGCTTGAAATTGTCTGGCTTCAGCACTTCAGCACTTAGACATTCACTAAAATGGTCTCCATAAACTGAGAGAACCCTTTAGAATCTGGTAGTTTCTTCATGAGTGGATGTGTAGATGTTGTAACCAATTCAACCACTTCATTTCCTTTGGGCTTGCTGAACAGAGTACTTTGTATGTCCCAGGTGTTTTGCCTGTGGAGGTATTTTCTTTAATCCTTAAATCATTGTAATGGTATTTCTGTCAATTATAGGCACCAAAGCTGTGTGTGTTTTTACACTGTTTGGGTAGAATTAACTCCATACTTAAAGTGTTTCTGGTCCCTACTAACCCCTTGGATAAACCATGACAGCAGAACTCAGTCTGATGAGTTTTACCACAAACCTCTTGCCTCTGGATAATTCTGAACAAATTTTTTCTCTTTTCCCCCATGTATGTACTGCATTACAATATATTTTATCACAGTTATCTGGCTGACCATGCAGTTCTTATCCCTGGCTGTACTACCAACTTCAGACTTTTCCCCAAATTCTCTTGGTGAACTTTTTTTCCCAATTTCATTCATAAAAAGTTCTGACAAATACTCAGATGGTTCCTATTGCTATGTCTTGCTTCCAGAAACATCCAGAGGCTTTTGGGGAGCTGTCAGCATGAGATGGTTCTTATGCTCTTTAAAGTGCACTGACTACTGTGTTCCCATAACTCTCAGAGATCCCAGTGGAAACTGGAATCCTCAGCCTGGTCCTCAAGGCAATGTCAAAGAAATATATTAACAATTCTGTTGGATATTAAAAACACATTTCCCCACTCTGTGGTGTGATTGTAAAGACTGATTGGCTAAGCATGAACAAAACTAAAGCTTTCAGGATTTTTAACATATTTTTCCTCGTAATTTTAGTTTTATTTATCAATACCCATTTCAAATATTTTTATACTCCTTGCAAAATGTCATAGTGCATGTCATAACAGGGGAACCAGTATGCCAACAAATATGCTCTGCATAGTTTTTGCTTTCTGTAAAGATTCCAGTCACTGGGCTACATTAAAATAGCTGTACCACTGTGCTCCTTTAGACAGGCCATGGTTGGTGTTTCTCTCCCTGGGTGAGGGCTCTCCTCTGGGTGAGCTGACAACATGAGCACCCACGCTGTCAGATCCCTACGAGGTCCCAAAAAAGTCTCACCAAGGAAGTGGTTCTGGAAATGTCCTGCTTCTACACAGCTTTTAGAGTGCCTGGGACTGACTTTTCCTCAGGTACCAAAAGCAGCTGGACTGTGTCTCTTTAACCCAGGCCACCTGGCAAAGCACTGTGGAAATGAGGTTGCAGATGTTCCACAGTCCTTCACAATCTGAGACTTTCTGTCTGCTCAGGGAGCAAAACAGACTCATAGGAGGATAAATTCAGCTGTACACATGGCTTATGTGACTAAAACAACTGCACATATGTATAATGAGATAGAAAGAGGTGCATATACATGTTCATACATAGGCTGCTTTCTTTCTTTGAGGCACTTTGCTAATTAATAACTAAATAAAGGCTGTGCTACTTAGTAATTCAGTATTTTCACATTTTCTAGTTGCAATCTACTCTGAGTCTCCCCAAAGGTCCTACACGAGCACTGGATTACTCACATTGGCTCAGGCAGCAGATACTCCTGGAGTGCACTGTGCACCAGGGAACAGAAATACCAGCTGAACTGAAGGGAGCAGTGAGGTTTGCAAGAGCATCCACGCTGGGAAGCCCGGGATGAGCATAAGATAATTTGCATTTTCTTCCAGTTGGCATAAGAAACTACTTGCCATATCTTCAGCTGGCAGAAATCTGTGCAGCTGCACTGGCTTCTGATCGATTGATTAGCTTCAAGCAAACTCTGCTGATGCAGGTGATGTGATCCCTCACAATGACAAATAAAAATGGTCACACATCTTTGTGCCACACCACCCAAACCCTTCCCAGCAACCAGGTGATGTGATCCCTCACAGTGACAAATAAAAACGGTCACACATCTGCGTGCCACATCACCTAAACCCTTCCCAGAAACTGTGCAGTGGCAAAGCACACCAAAACTCCCAGTGGCACTTGGAAGAGAGAAGTGGCAGGAGGCTCCCAGCAAACTCTTTACTAGAGAAACACAGGCTACTGAGACACATTTTTGTCTCTAGATTTTCATTGGATCATAGAGTAATTGGAGTTGCAAGGAACATTTAAAGGTCATCTAGTCCAACCTGCAATGAGCAGGGACATCTCCAGCTAGATCAGGTTTCTCAGAGCAACCATCGTCCTTGAATGTTCTCAGGCAGGGGTTATCTACCACCTCTCTGACAAAACTGTTCCCTGGGTTCCATTGCCCTGATTGCAAAAAACTTCTTCCTTAAATGTAATCTAAATTCACCTTCTTTTAGTTTAAAAGTCCCTTCTTGTTCTCAGTGCTCTTCAGTGGCTACTTGGTCACATCCTGCACTTTCAATCAGGGCTTCATCTGTAGTGCAAGATGCAGCTCTGACCAAAAATGGGCTGGCTATGATTACATAATTACTCACTTTCCAGCTCAGAGATAACCTAAACCACCCATCAGGGCTGAAGATCAGACAGGTTGCTTTGAATTTCAAAGACTACCAGGTTCACAGTAACCCTCTGTGAAATCAGTGCTGATTTCTAACAAGCAATAACCAACAGTGATATCACCATTCATAACTAAAACACCAGTCATAACTAAAACAACTGCACATATGTATAATGAGGATGAAAATGTTTGCTAGCAAATGTTTTTGGAAGTTTTTGGCTATCTGACTTGATTGATTTACTCTTCTGAATAGTATCATGGCACCTATGGCAAAGTTGGACTAAAAAGATTGAAAGCACATAATAAGGAGAGCATGTAACTTAGCAGCAGGGACTGCCTTTGGTTCTCATCTGTAACTTGATAAATGAGAAATAAACCCCATGTAACTCAGAAAGAAAAGAAAAAAAGAAGGCAAGAAAAGTGAAATAAAAATAAACCCTTGAACTGAGAAACCTGGGTCAAGAAATCCAACACTGCAAGAACAGAAAGTGCTTCAATCTGTATTATTGTTCAAGGCAAAGGTGACATGCCAGGTCTGGGGTGGGACTAAATTCAGATACAAGTTATAAGCAGTGCCAGTAGTCAGGAATGCTGGAATTGTTCTGCTGAGATTTCATTCACAGCAGTGTGCATCAAAGTGAGTACCAGACAGTGCACTGATGGAAATTGGTGGGCCCAATGCAGTTTTTTCATTCACGGAAATGCATAGCAAAGCATGTACCCACAGAGCATGTTGATGAAAATTAGTAGAGCTAATGCAATTCATATGATGAATCTGACTTAAAGAAATATTGCTGGCATCACAGGATGTCAGCTGGGGCTTTTAATTCCTAACTGGACTCGTTCAGACTGGCAGCTCTGTCTGGCTGGGCTCAATGCAGGTGTTTTTCCACTTCTGGCTGCTATTTTTCCCCAGGAGGACATGGGCCAGACCTCCACCGGCCTCCCTGGGCACAAGGTCAGTTTGGGGGGCACGTGGGGATGAAGGGGAAAACTTTTACACAGCCAAACAGCATTCTGGCCTCCAGCTCTTGAAAAAGATTCCACTGTCTGCCAAGCCCTTCAAACTGCCCAAACACTTTGGAAATTACAGTATCTCATTTTGCTGCCAGTTGGGAAACTTGTTTCACTGCATTAACTGTCAGAAAACAGAACACACTTTTTCTGGGGAAGGATATTTTGTCTCATTATTATCAAAGTGCAGAGTTAGACTCTGAGCACAGCTTTGTGGTGTTTCACTTATGGCTCCCCACGAGGGCCCTATATCCAAAGGCAGCACAGGAACACTTCTGCATTTTTGTCTAGGCTGAACACCTACACTTGTACCAACTATAGAGCTCTGGCTTGTGTCTCCCACCCACAGCTCACATTTCTCTTGGATTAGTGTTCTCCCATCAGTGCTATTAATGCAGTCACATCAGGAGATCCAGTTGCTTTGTGGCCTGGAAGGCCCTTCCATC